GGGAATTAACATAAGAATAAAAAAAAATAAATAAAAATTTTTTAAAAAGAAAAAAAAATGGTACTTTTATTTTAAGTGGTTTTTAATTAATAACCTTTGGAATATTTTTAACGGTTGAGTTAAATTTCTTTAGAGTCCTAAGAAGAGAATACCAGTGTCATTTACTTTAGTTTTATTTTTGTGTTGTGTTTTTTTTTCCTCAGTGCCTGTTACAAAGAATATAGCAAAAACACAGTCTTCTCTTTCCAAAGCAACCCAACGTTCAATGCAGTCTCCACAGAAAACTGCTGTAATATTACCAACACAGCAGATCAGGAAATCAGGTCGCACTAAACCACCTGCACAGACTTCAGTCCCTAAGAAGGGAAGTGCTGTTAAAAATCTTACACCAAAGAAAAAAGGCCCAAAAAAGGTTAGTTAATCTCCTCCTAATTTGTATTAGAGGTCTCTGCAATGACTTATTTATAACATAGAGTTTAGGATTTACTAAGAGTATGATGAGGCCCTTTAGGAATGTACTGTACAAAGAACATATATAAAGCCTTTTAAAGTCCACATAGCTAGCTATCAAGATTGGTATTTCTTTTCTTGGGTAAACTTAAAACTTTCAATAGTGTTCAACTTTTTCAAAACCACATTGGACATACTGTTTGGGTATATTTATGTTCAGGCCAATTTATTTAAAAGTCAGTACATTTTAGAAATGAATGTGAAGTGAGTTTTACTGTACATAAATTATACCTCAATAAAGCGGGTGGAAAGGGGAATCAAAGGGATAAATTCAATGATGCTAGGCTACCTAACTGACTCCCCCAAAGAAAACAACTTTAAAACCTGGAAATAATAGAAAAAACAACTACTTGAAGATACTGGAGCTTGAATGGAAGCAGACACACTGTGGTTGGGGGCAGTACGCACAGGAGGTAGGTGTGTTACACAAAATTCTATATCTGGCAAAAATACTCTTCAAGGGTGAGGGTGAACTAAGGACTTTTTCAGATAAAAGCATACTTAGAGAATTCCACACTGGCAGATAAGCACTGTAAGAAATGCTGAAGGAAGTTTATCTCTGGGTAAATGTGAATGATTTGTTTTTTGCTTTTTTTCTTCTTAATTTCTTTATAATAATGTGACTAAAGCAATAATTATAATATGGTGTTGTGGGGTAATGTAATATATATGGCATGATGTAATACATCATTACATAACATCAATACATAACATGATGTAATACATTATAACAGTATAAAGGCTTTGAGTAGGGGATATGGATTTCTGTCATTGCAAGATTTCAACATTTTATGTTAAGTAGTACAATATTAACTATGTGGGTTATACAGTGTAATCCCCAGGGCATATTGTAAAAACACAAATGCAGAGAAGTATAGCTAAAAAGCCAGTAGGAAAACTAAAATGGAATTCTAAAGAATATTCAACAAGTAATTGAAAACAAAAAAAAAAAAAAAAGGAAAGGAGGAATAGAGGAATAAAACACAGAGGAGACAAATAGAAAAGAAATAATAAAGGGTATACCCAGACCCAAATATATTAGTAATTACTTTAAAAGTTGGTGGACTAAATTTTCCAATTAAAAGACAGAGATTATAAAAATGGATTTTAAAAAGACCCAAATATATCTGTTCTACAAGAGATGTATTCTTTCTTTTTTTTTTTTTTAAAGATATATATTTTGAGATTTATTTATTTATTTTAGAGGCAGAGAAAGAGAGAGAGAAACTGAGCAAGCAGGGGGAGGGGCGGAGGGAGAGGGAGAGAGGAAACTTCAGCAGACTCCTCACTGAGCTTGGAGCCCAACCCTGAGATCATGACCTGAGCTGAAACCAAGAGTCAGATGCTTAACCGACTGTACCACCCAGGGACCCCACAAGAGATTTATTCTTAACATAAAGACATAGAATCTTCTTAGATCTTATTAGAACTAAATTAAATTTTAGCAGTAATAAACATTTCTGAGTGCAGCCATCTGATATCAATATATATAACATTTCTGTTTTGTTTCAACTAATGTTTACAGTATGGAGCAAAATGACAATGCCATTTTGATTTTATTTTTTATTTATTTATTCTTTTTTTTTCTTTTAAAAGATCTTATTTATTGGGGTGCCTGGGTGGCTCAGTCGTTGAACGTCTCCCACTCCCCCCTGCTTGTGTTCCCTCTCTCACTATGTCTCTCTCTCAAATATTTGAGACAGAGAGCAAGAAAGCACAAGCAGGGGAAGTGGCAGAGGGTGCGGCAGAGGGAGAAGGAGAAGCAGGCTCTCCGCCGAACAGGGAGCCCGATGTGGGGCTCGATCCCAGGACTCTGGGATCATGACCCGAGCCGAAGGCAGACGCTCACTGACTGAGCCACCCAGGTGCCCCTGATTTTAAAATGCTTAAATTAATGTTGGTATTTTTATTTCAAAAAGCATTCAAAAATTTTAAATAAAAATTAAGTCAAGGGGCGCCTGGGTGGCTCAGTCGTTAAGCGTCTGCCTTCGGCTCAGGTCATGATCCCAGGGTCCTGGGATCGA